GACGGGGGGGCAGCGGGGCAGGGCCCGCCGGGGCCGGTAGTGCCGGGCAGGGGGTTACGGGGCCGCTCTGAGGCCACTGAGCTCCCCAGGCCCCGTGGGCGCTGCCGCGGTTTGATCGCGGCCTCTCAGCTGAGGTAGATGGGAGCGGGCTGGATCCTCCTGGAAGTTTGGGATACAGGAGCTGTTGGCACGTTAGGAAATGCTCAAAAGCCAGAGCTTGAGTTTCCCTGGGAAGGGCAGGCGCTTGTTCGAGACCTCAGCTGGAAATTACATGCTTTAACTAGTTACTTGCTGGCTGCTCGTGCATTGAATCGGAGCCCGAGTGGCTCAGGGCAGGGACAGGGGAGCCCGGGTCCCCAGTGCCTCCTCCAGGGCTCCGGGCACCAGCCCGTGAGGCTGCCCCTGCTCTGGAGTTTGGTGCATTGTGTCTTCAACCAGTTCTCTGGTGCTGGGCACTCAGCTGCAGCCTTTTTCTCTGATCTTTAACGTACAGGAAAAAAGGGCAGAAGCAGCGTGGTCTGTGAGTGGCCTTCGTCCTGGGGCTCTTGTGTCGCCGAGAGTCCCGCCTCTTCCCCCTGCCCTGCTCTGAGGTGCCTTTTTGAAGTTTGTCACCTAAGGCAAAGTTCGTTGGTGTTTGGTGCTGGAGCGGGTTGGACACAGTTCAAGAGAGGGGAGTGTGGGGCTGAAAGCCTCCCCCTGGTTTGTAAGGCAGGTGTCAGGCCTGCAGTGCCAGCAACTGGGTTAAAAAGTTACGCTGTGTAATCCCTGCCTCACAGGGCTGGGCTGGAGCTCACTGCTGGAGGAGGCAGGGAGGGGGAAACATCCTACCTGTGTTTCAGGGCTGCATGACTGCTCAGGCACCTCCTGGCCCCAGGGAGGAGGGGGAGGAAGGCTCATGTCCTGTCCAGAGCCTGGGGCTGAGGCGGTGGGAGCTGCAGGGGCAGCCTGGCTGCCCCAGCACCAGCTCTGGGTCCCAGCCCTTGCTTTCTGCCAGAGACAATCAGCCTGTGCTCTGGTGTAGCTGCTGCTGCCCCTGCAGCTTGCAGAGCACCCATCCTGGGCACCCTGCTGGGTGGGAAAATCGCCCGGTGCTCTGGTGTAGCTGCTCCTGCCCCTGCAGCTTGCAGAGCACCCATCCTGGGCACCCTGCGTGGTGCAGAAGAGCTGCCTCTGAGTGGGTGTCTTGTGGAGGGAATACACCCCTCTGCCAGACATCAGGACCTAGGGGCTGTTTGCTCTGCCTCTAAGAGGCAGAAGGACTGTGGAGAGATTGCTTCTTGCCACGCCAGACAAAACTCAGGGCCACTCTGTCCTTCTGAGTGCAGAAATGCACAAAAATGTGAACAGTTGGGTTCCTGTAATGGCTTCTGAGGGACAGCCTCTGCGTGCAGCCTTGGGTTATTTCTGTTCCTACAGTTGTTACTGC